TGCCCTAGGATAAGCATTCTCTTCAGCCAAGGAAACAGCTATTGGAAAACAGAACAAGAGAATCCCGATTTTTGAGTAGCCTCCATCCATGCCACATTTATCAAGCACCTAAAACATGCCAGGCACTTTGCTAGGCTTTGGAGATTCAAAGACAAAAGTGAGTCTGCCCTCAAGTAGCTTACATTTTAATGGGGCCTCTAATAAGTACACATAGAAGTATAAACAAAATAAATATAATTTGACAGGAGGTAGCAGCAGCTAGGGGGCTCAGGAATAGAGTGGCCCTCCAGCTGAGGTTTGAAGGAAGCCAGGGATGCTAGAAGTCAGAGATGAGGAGAATATATTCCAGGCACACGAGAAAGGCTAGACAAAGACTCAGAGTTGGGAGATGGGGTGTTACCTGCCAGAACACCAAGACAACTATCTGGGCTAGACTGCAGGGCATATGAAAAGGAGCAATGTAGAATAAGTCTGGAAAGGTAGATGGGGCCACGTCAGAAAGAATTTGAAATCCCAAATGGGGTCCATATTTGCTCCTAGTGTGGATAAGGAGCCCCTGGAATTTTTTGAGAAGCAAAGTAACAGTCAGAACTGTGCTTTATTTAGGAATACAATTGTGTGGAGAATGGATTGGAGAGAATAGTGGTCATACCTCGACTCCCAACAAAGACACTCTGCTTGTGGTCAGAACTGGAACAATTAATTACCCCTTCCCTGCCTTTCTTATATTACCAGAAAACTATACAGTGAGGTTGTGCTTCAGCTCCCTTACTCTAAAAAGAATTAGCTTTGCTCTCTTTCTGAATCTCAGACCACACTACAGTGAAAGTATCAGTAGCAGCATCTTTCCATATGAAGAAAATGATACAGAAATTAATTAAGTGAGAAGTCACTAACAGAGGTGGGACCTTGCCCTAAGATTTCTTCATTCAGGTTTTTTTTTCTACCAGATGATAAATCAACTTCTATGTACATGATTAGTCTAAAAACATAGCGATATTGGAAAAACCTTTATTAGCGGGTAGCAAATTTACTCTCCATGAAATATCCCATGGAGTAACAATAGACATTTCCCAGTAGCTATCTGACTTCCCAATTATGGAATACCATAGGCTAGTCAACCCTGTAATATATTAAGTTACACAAAGTCCTAGCTGACCCACAGAATCCTAGGGTTACTTCAGGAATTAAGAGAATATATAAAAGCATACTGAGGATCTCTGTGGGCATAGACTAAAGCTGATCTTTTCCAAAGTATCCTACCAGTTCTAGGGTGCCTAACGTGGAATCCTATGGTTTTTTGGAGTCATGGATCCTTCTCAGAATAATGTTTTTAAATGCATTTTAAAAAACTATAATATTACAGAGGAAACCAATAATATTGAAGTAAAATTATAAAAATATTTTAAAGGTAAGTTCACAGATACCAGGTTGCAAATAAAACAAAATAGCCCATTTCTCTTCCATTCTGTGTGGCTGAGATCAAATCTCAACTGCCAAAGCCCCACATGTGATCTTGCATCAATTCCTTAACCTTTTCTGGCTTCAGTTTCCTCATCTGTACAATGAAGAGAGTTGACGAGGTCATCTCTCAAGTCCGGTCCAGCTTTCAGTTTCTGGTCCTGTAATAATATGCCTACAGCAATATGCAGAGGTCCCTCACCAAGGAGAACCTGAAACTGCATCTCCTTGCATTAGCTTCCCAATTACCGAATTTGGGTGCAAAGATAGTAAGAAGGAGATGCCCTGATTCTCCTCTTCAAATGAGAACCCATCTGTGACATTACGGAGAGGGCAGGGTGTAGGTTTTGAGTTGTCCTTAGGGGTGGTGATGATCCATGTATACTGCCCAAGGTGGCTGCTGGCTCCCCCTCAAACAATTAGGGAGTCATTTGAGTGTGGTCATCTTTTGACCTTAGCATATTCTGCCTAGTATTATTTATGTTGTTGTTAGATTTTAAGCCCTTGGAGGGCAGGAACTTTCTTACTTTTCCTCTTTATAGGCCCAGGGCCTAACCCAATGACTTCCACACAGTGCCTTGCACTTAAATATTTGTTAACTGAATTTATTAAGAACAGATTTAGAAGCTTTTCTGTTACCAGCTCCAGAACCTAGCCCTTATTCCAGCTGGCTTCTCACAAACAGGATTGGAAGAGATTTTTATACTAGTATCCATTGTTAGGGCTGAGCATCATTATTGAGAGTCCTGGATGGTTAGAAGTAGAAAGACCTTCAGAGGAAATAGAGCCCAGCCCTTCGTTTTACAAAGGAGGAAGCTGAGCCTTATAGGAAAGATAGTACGCCACTTCTAGAGTGGTGCATAACTGAGAAGTAGTCGAGTGGAAAAAGCTTTGTGTATTTGGAATCAGAAGAGCTGAATGTGAACCCTCGCTCTGCTTCTTCCTAGCTGTGTGACCTCTGGCACATTGCCTAACTTTTCTGGGTCTCTTTTTCTGCATCACAAAGTTGTTGCAAAGGCCAAATTAGATAAAAGATTTAAAGCACTTTGTAAGCGCTTTAAAGTGCTATTATGATATATGTGAAGCCTTAAAAAGATCAAATGTGTAAGTGTACCCCCAATCACAACCAAAGCCCTAAATACATTGTATTCATGAGGATAATGGTTGGGAGGTGTAAGATGGTTTTTCCCAGCACCCCTGCTCCCCAAAAAGGGATGTCATCATTGTGGGAGAGGAACCATGAATGAAAATGAAGTGACAGTTTTCTTATCTGCAAAGTAGAGTTGATAATGATAACACCTACCTTACAGGGATTTTGCAAAGGTCAAAGAAATAATAGATCTGAAGTTCTTTATAAATGTTAGCTCTTATTGTGACAGAGTTGATATGACAATCTTAGCACTTTATAGAAGGCTTTATTTGCATCCATTGTCTCATTTGTCTCTTACTACCCAGAGAGGTGAATATTTTATTATCCCATTTTATAGCTGAGGAATCTAAAATCATCATTAATGATCACTCTCACATTAGTGGTTTTATCCTATTTTGTTTTGTTTTAGGAGTTTGGGGGCGTGCATCAACAGCTCAAATAATACATGCATGAATACAGCATCTACAGAGTTTTTGTTGCATTTGGCAGTGTATATCTGCATCTTACCTTTATAAGAGTTAACACATTAGAAATTCATTCTGAACATAGCTAGAAAAATCAGGGGGAACATTGGTCATGTGTGGCTCATAAACCTTCTGCTCTCTTGTGCAAAGACAAACCCCAAACTATAAAATAAGCATTTAAAGCTGGGAGGGACCTAGTAATAATTAAAGAATAACCAAACAGCCCATCAAACAATATTGCCTATTAAGCTGGGACATGAAATCCCAAGAGAAGCCACAAGAATGCCAAAAGTTCCTGACTGAGTGGATTGTGTAGTTCCTTGAGTCATGTGTGATTGTGATTCATTTTAAAAATTTAACCAGAAATAAAAGCATTTTAGTACTGTGGTATCACTCCATACGTTGCAACTGGGAGCTTAAGCAAATATATGAAGTTCTTAAGGTATCATCTAACTTTTTCTTAGACATATTTTTGTGATACATATGGAACATCATACATTGGATTAGCTATGTAGTTAAATGTCTGGAGTAAAAAAATGAGTTATAACTGCAGCTATAGAGTTAAAAACAACTATAATAACAACAGATCTACATTAAGTACACAAAAAAAAGACTCAAAAGGAGTCATGGAGATAAGCAAAACCATGTAGTTACTTCTGTGTCGTAAATACATTTAATTTTGCAATAAATAATCAGGGAATTAATAATAATAATAAAGTTGTTGTTCAGTCATTCAGTTGTGTCTGACTCTTCATGGTCCAAAGTACACCAATACTGTCCATGGGATTTTCTTGGCAAAGATACTGGAGTGGTTTTGCCATTTCCTTCTCCAGTGGACTAAGGTCAGAGGTTAAGTGACTTGCCCAGGGTCACACAACTAATGAGTGTTTGAGGCCTGATTTGAACTCAGGTTTTCCTAACTCCAGGCCTATCACTCTAGCCACTGAGCCACCCAGATGTCTAATTAAAAAAAAATCTATAACATTTATATAGTGCTTACTGTGCGCCAGGTACTGTGCTAAGTGCTTTACAAATATTATGTGTTCCTCACAACAACCCTGGGAAGTAGGTGCTATGATTATCCCCATTTTACAGATGAGGAAACTGAGACAGACAGGTTAAGTGACTTGTTTAGGGTCACACAGCTAGTCAATGTCAAAGGTTGTATTTGACCTCAGGTCTTCTTGACTCCAGGCCCAGCACTCTATCCACTGTGCCACCTAGTACTTAGCTGACTTCTAAGTAGAAGTTTATGGACTTATGGATGATAATTTACAGTCTGATATTTTTTCTTTTTCAAAATGTTCTTCATATGTAGTACTTGAATTATTGTGCCTACTAGTGGAAGTTAACTTAAAATTAATTTGAAAAAAATAAGAAAACGAGTTATTCTTTCCTAAAATTGAGGATACTTACAAGATTGAGCATATGTGACAATTCCTTTGTGGGTAAATCGATTCCAAGATAGTTTATGCTGACCTAGATTGCTGATTGTATACATATTGCTTTACTATTTTTAATCTCAGGAAAAAATTGGTGCAGAATACAATCAGGCATGAAAGTAAAATTAGAGTAGAATCATACCATACCTACCATCACTAATTTGGTTCCACAAAACCCCAAGGTATTAGGCAAAAGAGCCTTACAAGGAACGGTTACTTCCATTAAAAAATGTTAGAATTGACATCTTAAAGTAACTCTGACACCAAGACTTGGTGTCAGAATATAATCACAGAATCTCACAGCTGGAATAGTTGAGAGGCCCTCGAGTTAATCCAATGCATGCCTGATGTGACTGGGAAATGACAAGGCAAATATGGGACGTGGGCTATGCCTGTAGAAACATTTGATAAAAGAGCGATGGATTTCTCTTGATCCACATTTTGGTATCTTATTAGTAGCCTTATTTTTTTTTCATCTTGTAGATCTCCCCTTACACTTAAATGCAGCAATGTTTGAAGCGAATGGTGGCTGTGGTTATGTTTTGAAGCCTCCTGCCCTGTGGGACAAGAACTGTGCTATGTATCAGCAGTTTTCTCCGTTGGAAAGAGATATGGAAAACATGGAGCCTGCTCTCTATTCTTTAACTGTGAGTATTACTGTGAATAGAAGTTAGAGTTTTAAATCCTCTTTTAGAGACTTTAAGGGAAACAAACCTATCACTGTGAGATTTTAGTTTAGAACCCTGATGAGCAAGTAGAATTCCCTGGTTAGGAAGGAGAGTTGTATGGATTATTTATGGGCTATTTGCTGTCCTTTATTGTTGCCTCTGGGGGCTTGTATGGTTCTGACAGATTCATTCATTCATATCTATAAAGACCAAGACATGAGCAATATTCCAAGATTTCTAAGACTAAGTTTGGTAGAGCCCCAAAAGACTGAATTTTTTCAGTCAGCCCTCAAAATCAGACCCAGTTCCTGTAAACTACAGGCTAAGACTCCCCCAGCCTTTTTTCTGTGGCTCTTTACATCCAACAAGGGGGAGAGCCCAGGTGGGGCCCTACAGGGAGCATCCTGTGAAGCCTCAGTGCCCACCCTCCAGAAGTGCTGTGGTGCATGTCCTTAATCTCTGGGTAAGTCTAACCGGCTCATCAAGAAGCCTCTCTCCCCTGCCCACCCTGCTCCCCCTGCTCCCATCATTCCCTACACAGGGAGTTGCCTTTTTTTTTCTTTTAAATTCACATGCAGACTTGGATGAGGGTCTTTGTTTGGTGTCTTTTCAATTATTGGTGACTTTGATCCTTCTCTTTACTTCAGATTGTCTCTGGTCAGAATGTGTGTCCTAGTAACAGCACAGGAAGTCCATGTATTGAAATTGATGTCCTGGGAATGCCACTGGATAGCTGCCATTTCCGCACTAAACCCATTCATCGAAATACTCTTAACCCCATGTGGAACGAACAATTTCTGTTCCGAGTTCATTTTGAAGATCTTGTATTTCTTCGTTTTGCGGTTGTTGAAAACAACAGTTCAGCTGTAACTGCCCAAAGAATCATTCCACTAAAGGCTTTAAAAAGAGGTAGAAGAAAATCTCATTTGTTTAAACGTTGATTGAGCGCATCTCAAAATAAATTTTTCTGATATATTTGCAATATCTTTTACAGAATGTGGCCTTTCTGACTGCAATAGACTTTGCAAATGGGATATGGAGGGCAGTGGATGGAGTGCTCCCTCCTCCACAGTCGCCACTTCCCTTCTCCCCCTCAAACCATAGCCCCCCCCCCGCCCCCTTCCTGTAAGTTCTAGAGCTGTGCAGGGTGGCTTGACCTGAGGGTAGGGAATGACAGTGTGGGGCTGGGGGTGGAACCAGTGCCAGTCATTAAACTACTATTGAAAGCACAGCCATGCTAGAGAGGGGATTGGAGGCCAGCAATAACTTCAGGAAGAGAGTATGAAAGAAGCCCAAAAAAAACAAAACGGGGGATAAGCCGGGTTGGTCCTTTATGGGCTTTCATGTGAGCATTCACAGACTGCAAGACACCCTTCACACAGAGCTTCATGGAAGTTCAGCATACTGTCCTCCAAAGGATCACTTTATATTTGGGGGGTTTTAATGCTATCAAAGCTATTAGAAGATGAAGTAGTTTGCATTGTTGCTCATTTTAGGCAACAGAAACATTAAATGCCCAGCCAGCCTTAAAAGCGGTCAGATTTTTCTACTTTTTAATTTTTCTTTGAAAATATTAGGAACTTTTGAAGGCATATTAATTCCTTTTGGTAACAAAGGCTAATTAATTGCTAATGCATGGCACTAGATAGTATCCTAGTTACTTGAATGGCAATATTCACACCCAGCAAAAAAGGCACATCCTCTCTGCATGGCTAAGCCGTGTCACTATCTCCTCTCATCAAGAAACAAGTCATTCTGCACTTTCTTTGAGGTTCCTGCCTTGGGAAAGTTGGCTCAGAACAGGAATAAATGTCTAGTGGACAGGTTTCACCCAGTTGTGTATTGTTTTAGGATATCGGCATCTTCAGCTGAGAAATCTACATAATGAAGTCTTAGAAATCTCTAGCTTGTTCATAAACAGCAGGAGGATGGAAGAAAATTCCAGTGGCAGTGCTGTGGCAGCATCTTTGGTAACTACACTCAAATGTTAACGTCGTATTTTCATTGCTCTATTTTAATGTTTAGGCATTATTCCCATGCCCTAAACCTACCCCCTCCTCTCTCTCTGCCTCTCACATACACATACACCACACACCCACACACAGACATACAGTTTTTTTCCTGACTTTCACCTGCTTGTCCACCACCTAGAGCGAAACAGGGTGTACTCAAACCAGTTATTATCTCATTTAATCCTCACAATAACCCTATAAGGGAGGTACTGTTATTATCCTTGTTTTACAGGTGAGGGAACTGAGGCAAACAGGGCTAAGTGACTTGCCCAGGTCACACAGCTAGGAAGTATCTGAGGCCAGATTTGAATTTGGGAATATGAGTCTTCCTGACTCCAGGCCCAGGGGGCTCGATCCACTGTGACACCAGCTGCAGGTCCCAGCTGGGACATGAATTCTGTGACAATGGGCGAGTTACTCAAGTCAACTGAGCCTCAGCGTCTTCAGCTAAAAAGAGAGGGGGTTGGACCACATCTCAGACACTCCTTCTAGCTCTCCAAGTCGTGTGATCTCAGTATTCTAAAAAGATTCCAAAGCACACGCTGAGGCCCCGCCTCATCACGTTCTGAGCTCCCGAGCTGCCAAGAAGTGGTAGCCACGACCCAGCAGCCACAACCCCACCTTGCGTGACTGAACAGATCAGCCTGAGCCACGCGTCCCCCGATTCCCGAAGCAGTGTTGCTTTTCAGTCAAGAAAAATGTGTTGAACTTTCCCTTGTAGCTTCTCGTGCCAGAGTTCAGCCAGTCGATGAGTAAGAAGAAAGCATCTGAACTCAGAGGACATTGTACCTCGACTCTGAGAGAACCCGGTAGGGGCAGCTAGGTGGTGCAGTGGATAGAGCACTGGCCCTGAAGTCAGGAGGACCTGAGTTCAAATTTGGCCTCGGACTAAACACTTGACACTTACTAGCTGTGTGACCCTGGGCAAGTCACTTAACCCCAATTGCCTTTAAATAAAAAAAAATAAATAAAAAAAAACTAAGAGAACCCAGTGAACCACACTTTAATGAAAACAAGATGAGAAACGTGTCTTACTTTATTAAGTAAAATTTAGTTACCGTTTCTTTCTCTTCATTTTCGGGCTCTTACTTTATACTCACACAAGGGGTATTTATGCCCCTTGTTCCCCTGTCAGGCAAATGTCCCTCCTCTGCCTCTTTTTTTTTTCCTTTCTAAGTAGTGGATTCATTCATTAATTTAATTATTCATTCAACAAACATTTATTAAAGGCCTCCTCTTTAAGAGCATGTGCAGTGAGGCAGTAAGGTATAATGGAGAGGGTTCTGAGCTTGGCATTAGGAAGGCCTTGGTTCTACTCCTGTGTCTGATAACTGCTATGTGGTCATGAGGATATCACTTAACTTCTCTGAGAATCAATCTCTTTGCCTGTAAAATTGGAATAATAATACATTTAGCACCTACCTCTAGGTGTTGTGGTGAGGCTAAAGTGAAATAATGTTTGCAAAGCATGTGGCAAATTTTAAAACACTCAACAAATGCCACTGGGAAATGCTGGGGGAAATGAAAAGATAAATAGAACTGGGCCCTCCTTCTTCACCACAGTCCCGTGCTTGGGATTAGTGAGGACGCCTGAAGTCCCCTTGGGGAGCCCAGGATCCCAGGGACCACACTGCTGCAGTTCCTCATGAAGGACCTCCACTACCGGTCTCTGTGCCTTCACAGACTGTCTGTCCCCTGTGCCTGCACAGACTGTCCCCTGTGCCTGCACAGTGCTCTTTCTTCCCCTTGGCCTCTTAGAATTCTCAGCTTCATTCAGAGCTAAGCTCAAATAGCACTTTCTCTCCCTTTTCCCCCACCTCCTTTAGGGTAAGGGACTAGTCTGGGACACGAGACAAGGCAGAGGATGTCCTCAAACTTTAACGTCGTCAGCTGCTTCACGTGTGTGGGCTGTCTAGAGGCCCCCTTTCTCCTAGCCACAGTAGTAGCAGCAGCAGCAGTAGTAACATGGTGCTACCTATATCCTTGAAGTGTGGCTGTTCTCTGCTTTGAGGGAGGTAGAGAATGGTGACAGCCAGGTCGAACATGGTCTGATGATGTTCTGAACAAAGGTGTTGCCACAAAGTAGAGAGAAGGGGATAGATGTGAGAGATGGTACGGAAATAGAACTGACAGAATTGGGGGCTAATTACATAGGTGCCGTGAATGAGAAGTTGAGGATCACACTGCTATAATCTTGGGTGGGTGACCAAAAAGATGCTGATGCCTTTGACAGCAATAGGGTAACGTGAAAGAGAAGAGGTTGGTTCAGGGAGATAATTCAGTCCTGCTTTGGGCATGTTGAGTCTGAGATGCCTGTGGACAACCAGGTCTAAATATACAAAAAGTACCCAAAGGTATTCAAAAGGAACTCAGAAGAAAAATTTAGGCTAAATGTGTAAATCTGGGAACCATCTGCATAAAGATCATAATTAAACCCCTGAGAAACGACTAATTCACTAAGAGAGACTAGAGAAAGAAATGGAGAGGGCCCAGGTCAGGGCTTTGGTATATACCCACACTTAGGGGATGGAATACCAGATGATGATCAAATAAATGAGACTGAGAAGGCTGAGCCAGACAGATAAGAAGGAAATAAACAGAGAGGAATGTCATGAAAAGCCAGAGGTAAGAAGCCTTCTCTGATGCATTAGGGTGGGAGTATTCTTGGAATCCTCTGCCACCAACACTAGCATTCCCAACCTGGGTGATGGGAGTAGAGGTTGGGAGCAGGAAAGGAAGGAGAATTGATGGACTTTGAAGCCAGATTCTCTGTCCCTAAAGGATTCTTGTTTGATGGAGCCTATTACTGAGAAGAGGCAAGTGAGAAGGATCTGCTTCTGTTCCCTTGCAGCAGTAGCATCATACCAACCAGCAGAAGCTCCTCCAGCAAGGGAAGCTTTTACTTTGATACTGACTCTGCTGCTGCACCCGCAGAGATAGACGTTTAAGAGATTGGGGTCCATGGCACTAAGAACCTGAGTGAGGCAGCATTCAGGTTTTCTAGCAATGAATCAGTCAGCAAACATTTATTAAGCACTTCCTGTGTGCCAGGCACTGGAGATACAAAGACCAATGAATGAGACAAAGCCTGCTGTCAGGAGCTCACCATCATAATGGGTCAGATAACATGGACATTCATGGCTATATATAAAATAGAGACAAAATAAATATAAGGTAATATTAGAAAGGAAAAAAGCAATAGGATGCCAACTGAATACATGAGGGGATTACAAAGTTCTAACTAACACTATACACCCTGGATGTAATAGACACTCAATAAATGTTTATTGAATAAATGAATAAATAATGAAATAGTATCAAAAAGAACTTGAAGGAAAGACCCACCCTCTAAAATAGGAAAAGAGGTTATGGCTGCAAGACCATCAGTGTTTAAGGTGCTCTCTGCCAAGTGTTCCAATTTTAATGGTTTTAAAGAAGAATGCACCATGCATTCTAATTATGAGTAATTATAAACATAATCTCAAAATAGTCTACATTATTTAGACTAGAAAAGAGTCTGAATTACTACACAAACAATATAAATATTCCATCTGACAGATGTTCAGCACAGAAGAAAGAAAAGGTCTGGTGACATACAAGGTCACAGTACATGGGATTCCAGGTCCAGAGCCTTTTACCACTTTCATTATAAATAAAGAGACTAAAGCAAAGCAGCTTCTTCACCAAGTAAGTTCACAAAGCATTTGGTTGTAAAAATCTAATAATTTAATCTCCCTGTTTTTATACACACACACACACACACACACACACACACACAAAATGCATGCCCTCACCAAAGCTTTCCTCTGAAGTTTCATTGGAGTATGAAGGTGGCCCTGGATTATCAAATTCTATGCCAACGGAATGTAAGATCCAACAGGTCCATCTACCAAACTATTGCTGTTACTGTGTAACTCCTGTGTTCTCCTCGTTCTGCTCACTTCACTTTGCATCAGTTCATATAAGTCTTTCTATGATTTTCTGAAATCAGCCCACTTATCATTTCTTATAGCACAATAGTATTCCATTACAATCATATATCACAAGTTGTTCAGCCATTCCCCAATTAATGGACATCCCCTCAATTTCCAATTCTTTGCCACCACGAAAAGAGCTGTTGTAAATATTTTTTGTACAAACAGGTTCTTTTCCTTTTTTTTTTTTTAATTCTCTTTAGGATGTAGACCTAGTAGTGTGGTGGTGGTTGTTGTTTTGTTGTTATTTGCTGGATCAAAGGGGATGTACAGTTTTATAGCTTTTTGGGCATAGTTCCAAATTGCTCTCCAGAGTGGTAGGATCAGTTCATAACTCCACCAATAACCAGCGTTAGTATCCCAAATTTCCCATATCCCCTCCAACATTTATTTCCTTTTCTGTCATGTTAGCCAATCTGATAGGTATAAGGTGGTACCTCAGAGTTGCTTTAATTTTCTTTTCTCTAATCAATAGTGATTTAGAGCATGTTTTCATATAACTATAGTTTTGATTTCTTCATCTAAAACTGAACATTCATATCTTTTGACCATTTATTAATTAAGGAATGACTTGTATTCTTATAAATTTGACTTAGTTCTCTATATATTTGAGAAATGAGGCCTTTATCAGAGGTAATTGCTGTAAAAAATTTTTTCCAGCTTTCTGCTTTCCTTCTAATTTGGCTTACATTGGTTTTGTTTATACAAAACTTTTTAATTTAATATAGTCAAAATTATCCATTTTACATCTAGTAATGCTCTTTATCTCTTGTTTGGTCCTAAATTCTTCCCTTCTCCATAGATCCGGCAGGTAAACTATTCCTTTTATTCCTTGCTCTCTTAATTTGCTTATGGTATCATCCTTAATGTTTAACTCATGTACCCATTTTGACCTTATCTTGGTATATGGCATGAGGTGTTGGTCTATACCTAGTTTCTGCTGTACTGTTTTCCAGTTTTCCTGGCAGTTTTTGTCAAATAGTGAGTTCTTGTCTCAAAAATGGGGTCTTTGGATTTGTCAAACATAAGTTACTATGGTCATTTACCACTGTGTCTTGCATACCTTATCTTTTCCACTGATTTACCACTCTATTTCTTAGACAGTACCAGATAGTTGTGATGATTACCACTTTGAAATACAGTTTAAGATCCGGTATGGCTAGGCCACCTTTCTTCATATTTGTTTTCATAAATTCTCTTGACATTCTTGACCTTTTTTTCTTCCAGATGAATTTTGTTGATTTTTTTCTAGATCTATAAAATAAATTTTTGGTAGTTTAGTTGGTATGACCCTGAATAAGTACATGTAGGTAGAATTGCCATTTTTATTATATTGACTTGGCCTATCCATGAGCAATTGATATTTTTCCAGTTGTTTAGATCTGACTTTATTTGTGTAAAAAGAGTTTTGTAATTGTGTTCATATAGTTCCTGGGTCTTTGTCAGGTAGATTCCCAAGTATTTTGTATTGTCTACCGTTATTTTAAACGGAATTTCTCTATCTCTTGCTGTTTCTAGCCTATTTCTTGTCTTTGAACTTTATGTTAAAGTTGAGCTCTGCTCACCTTTGAGGGGGCAGGCACCATCCCAAGCTTCAAGCTTGTGCTGCTATTCTCATAGCTAGTTCTAGGGCCTACAAGTTTTCAGTGCTTCCAAGGTGGTGTGATGCAGGGAGAGGTGTGCACTGTTCTTTACTCAGGAAGAGTCCCTGCTCTCCTGCAGCTGCAAGTGCTAGTGCTCCTCTCTGCCCTGGAACTGTGACCCAGAACTGTGGATGGGCAACAAAGTTCCAAATAGCACTAGGTGCCAGTGCCAGCAAAGGGTCCCTGATCCCTTTCTGACCAGTTGTCTAATCCTAACTGTCTCTGGGCTGAGAGCTCCTGAAGCTGCTACTGCTTTCATAGCTATTTCCAAGGCCTACCACTGTAGTTGCTGCCATGTGAGCTCCAAGTTGGCCTTTAGCTCAGTGTCATAGACCTCTCCTGAGGACCTCGTAAGTTGTCTTGGGCTGGAAAATGTCTCATCCTGACGTTTTGTTGGTTCTGCCACCAAAAAATTTGATTTGAGGCATTATTTTAAAGTTGTTTGGAGAGGAATGTTGAGAGAGTGTGGCTAGATTGTGGCCTGTGCCCCACCTCTTGCCATAAATTATACTTCTTTACCTGATTTGTCCTGAAGTTCAATATTGTTCTCTCCCATAAAGTCTCCTTCTTCTCTCTCTAGCCAGAAATTCCCAACCCCTTATCAAATCCCAACTGTTTTTCACTTGAATCATTTTCTCCCATCCTCATTGCCCTTTTCTACTCTTGAGCTAGTAGATACAGCCTTGATTCTTATACTGACCATGGGCCTAATAATAAAGGTCATTGGCTTTCTACAGGCCAGACTAGATCTCCTTTATTGTCATTCTATTTTTTTATCAATGGAAAGTAACTAGAGATCAGTTTATCACATTATGTAGCCTCATCTACTGTCTTACCATTAGCAGTCTCTAAGATTTGGTTGTAAAGGGTAGGGTGTAGGAGAGAAGGTAAAATCTACGAGGACAATAATCCCCTGGAATGTAGTCAAAAGTGTATTGCACTATAGAATTCCCAGGGACCTGCTTATGCTGAGAATTTAGCTCTATAAACCTAACATTTAAAAATGATTGGGTGGTTCCAATATGAGAAAAAGAAATTGTCTTGGTTAAGGCTGGACTAGGTTATTGGCCATTGTCATAAAAGCAAAGCATTTTTGCAGAGTTCCAGGGCTGTAGAATGACAAAGGGCTAAGTTCATGGGTTGAGAAACCTAAAAGTTATTAAAACTCAACAGGGGTTGTCATTCCAGCAGTGGGAAAAGAGTTTTGCTGTCCTGGGATTATGAATAAATTGTGTTGCCGGCCAAAGTGGAAGTAAACAAGCTGTTTTGGTCATAGGAAATTGCTTAGATCTTCCAAAAAGGAATGATACACTCACTACTCCAGAGTAGATTTAACTTGGCAGTAAATGTCAGGCATATTTTGTGCTCTACAAGAATAGATCCATTTAAAATTAAAGATTTTTATCAACTATTTGGACTATCTCACCAGTCTTTTCTTTTGTACATGTTAGATTTTGACTTCTTCACAAGGTTCCATACCAATCACCACAGACTGCTTTTTGATTGAAGAAAAATATTTTATATCTAAAGAAAAAAATGACTTCAGGAAACAGCCATTCCAGAGAATAATCAGCCCAGAAGAAGAGATTGTGCAGATTTTGAACAGCTGGTTCCCAGAGGAAGGTTATGTTGGAAGGATTATTTTTAAAGTCCAGGAGGAAGTAAGTATGTTCAGGAATAGCCAATACAGTAAAATCCCATAAACTCTGCCAACTAAAAATTTTTCAGTAATTCAGACCTGGCTTATGTAACTTTTGGTGGGGACCCTGTGGTTCCATTAGTATAGAGAACTCCCACTGGGGTACTTCCATCTATAGATTCAGATCTAATAAATCTTAAAGAATATATATAGCTCTCAGCCCAGAGACAGTAAGGATTAGACAACTGGTCAGAAAGGGATCAGGGACCCTTTGCTGGCACTGGCACCTAGTGCTATATTCTTAAAGAATTCCCTGGGGCCACTGAGGGATGGATTGACTTTCCCTGGGACAGACAGACACACACAGCAAGTAATGTCCGAGGGAGGAGTTTAAGTCCTGTCGTGGATAAGCATAAGCTAGCTGGTTGTGGAGACAAGAAGACCTAAGTTCAAGTCCTCTTCTGACTTATCCTGGCTTTGAGGTGTGAGCAAGCCGCTGACTTTTCAGTGGTCTAGGCAACTTTCTAAGACTATAAATCTCAGGGAAGGGGCTGAGCTGCACGAGCCGGGGGAGAGCATCACCCAGAAGCTCCCCACTGCACTGAGCTGTCGTGAGTACAGAGAGATTAGTCTAAAATCAAGCCAAGGGCTCAGAAATTTAATTTTTCTTCAAATACAGCTTCAAAATGGGAGCCTTGTAATTCTTATACATTTACAGATACTTGCATTGATGATACATTTGATCATGAAAGTACATATTTTTTCATGAAATCATCTTGTTTCATTTGTTAGTGTCCATTAATGAAATTTACTTTATAAAATGTACTTCAAAGGAATAACGTTGCATTTCTTTAAAAATATCTCAGAAAATTTTTTTTAAATGTTTTGCTATGGTAGGCAAGTCTCACCACAGTTGTTAAAAAATGAGTGAGGATTTGTATAGTTCATCTATTCCACTTTTTGTCAGCTGGCCTCCACAAAGATATTTGTAATTCATATCAAACTAAACATTTTCTCCCAAGAAAACTTTAGTGCAACACACACATATTCACAACCATACATACAAACACGTAATATCCCATTTGTAAGTATGTGTATATAGATTATATAGAATTTTAGGAATATTTAAAGGAATCACATTCAGAGGTAAGAAATATCCTTCAGAAGTCCCAAATTACCAACACACAACATTTTCTAAATTTAACCAAGAGACGTTTACCTTTTTTGTGATAGTTTACATCATATTTTATATACATACATATTTTCACATTAGATATATATTTATACCCAGTTTACAGCTCACAACAACCCTGTGTGCAAAAGTGCAATAATTATCATGCCCATTGTACAGATGAAGAAACTGATGCTGAGAAGTTAAGCTCTTTGCCCAAGCCACGCAATTAAGAATTAACATGACCCAGCATTCATGCCTGGGTGTCCTAAATACCTCAGGCTGCTTTTTATTTGTCTTCTTCTCTCCGCTTTCTCACACTTTGTGTGCAGCAGCCAGAGGAGAAGAGCGTCTTCCAGGAAGAGAGGGAGGTGACCTTGAGCTCGGAAGATGAAAGCTTCTTTGTACAAGTCCATGACGTCTCCCCGGAGCAGCCCCGCACAGTCATCAAAGCTCCCCGGCTCAGCACTGCCCAGGAGGTCATCCAGCAGGTACGCTTCGTCCTTCCGGGTGTTTCCTTCCCACTATCTGAGATGAGGTTGAAGTAAATTATATACCTTAAGGGTTAATTTGATAAATGACAACCTAGCATGATGGTTTCTAATAAGAGATGGAGTGCATCTTATGGAAACTGGAAAGAAGCAGTTTTGGGAAAATCACGAAGTAATGAGGTCCCTGTCACTGGAAATGTTCAAGCAGAGGCTTGATAGCCTTCCATTAGGGATATTGTGGAGGACATTCCTACATCTGATGGGCTATAGTCTGAGGCCCTGTCCACTCTTGGTATTTTATGAATCTGAAATGAAGTGGAGGCACTCAGTCTAAGTGACAGATACCCTGGATTAAGAGACAGAGGCCCTAGTTGAGAAACCTGGCTTTGCTGCTTGCATAACTTTGGGCATGTTGCTTAATCCTTATTCCTCCCCTGTAAAATGAAGGAGGGTCTTTAAACGGGGAGATCTAGAATATGTTCTTATAAGATATTGGTTAGAAACGTGAACAACATCTTGTTTCTCTATTCTCCCCAGAGGCAGCTAGTAAAGCACTAGGTCTGGACACAGGAAGAGCTTTGCTAGCTGTGTGACCCCTGATAAGTCATTCAATCTCTGTTTGCCTCAGTTTCCTCAACTGTAAGATTTGGATAATAGCACCTACTTCCCAGGGTTGTTGAGAGGGTCAGATGAGATAATAATTGTGAAGTGCCTGGTACACAAAAAGTGCTTAATAAAATTGTCCTTCCCTTTTGTCTTTATATCCCCAGGGGCCAACATATAGCACCTTGCACGTAGTAGGTTAGCTATCAACAAGCATTTATTAAGCACCTACTATATACAAGAATTGTGCTAAGCCCCAGGGTTACAAAGAAAGGCAAAAGACAGTCTCTGCCCACTGTGAGCTCTCGGTGTGATGGTGAAGAGAACAGGGTAACAACTATGTACAAACTAGGTATAGACAGAAAAAATTGGAGATGATTCAATAGCAAGTGCTCAATCAGTGTTTGCTGAATTGTTTGTTGAATCTTTACAGACTTTGTGCAAAGCAAAATATTCTTATAGTATTTTGAGCAATCCCAACCCGAGTGATTATGTGCTTCTGGAGGAGGTGCTAAAGGAACCTGCTAACAAGAAATCTTCTACACCCAAGTCTTCTCAGAGGGTTCTCGGAGACCAGGAGTGTGTGTTCCAGGCTCAAAGCAAGTGGAAGGGAGCAGGAAAATTTATTCTTAAGCTGAAAGAGCAGGTTCAGGTAAGCTGTAGAAAAGTATTTTGTGATCCTCCTAAATGTTCAGTGTTGGTAAGTAACTTTGTAATGGAGGTTGAGAACAAGAAGACTTGGGGAGAAAGTTTCTCAGGGAGAGAAACAGTAAGGGGAAGGGAAATACCAAGCTAAGTTTAGTTTTGCCCTTATATAATAACAGAAGTGTAGTGCTCAGGCAGCCCTGTGCTTGTACTGCAGCTGCCCTCACAGACAGGTGAGTGAGGTGACCTTCTCTGGTTCCTGGATCCGCTCCAGAGTCCTCCGCTCCCCCTTCCACCACCAGTAGTCACACTCCTCCGTAGTCTTCTTCCCCAGCTTTGAGTGGTCTCACTTCCCTCCCGAATTTCCAAACATCAGATGGCCAGAGTGAGAGAAGTAAGGCTCCTTACCTAATTCAGGTCAGTGAATGCCTTCAGCATTTGGCCCTGAGCAGTCTTCTTGTAGGGGTTTATGGGATATGCCCCTAGTTTTCCATTAATAGATTGCCCACATTTGTGATAATCTGTGTTCAATTTGGAGACCATTGCTAGTCCCTGCTGCTGTTCCACCTAGAAAGAAAAGATGGAAAACCATTTATTAAACACTTAAGATATGCCAGGCCCTGTGCTGAGTGCTGGCCACACACACGGGAGCGTGCGCACACACACACACACACACACACACACACACACCATACACATGCTCTTCATGGTTATGCATAGAATGTTCATGAAAATGTGTAAAGCGTTAAAGCTAGTCATCTTCTCGAGTTATCTCCTTGTTAAACCTAGGTGGCACAGTGGATAAAGCTCTGGGCCTGGAGTCAGGAAGACCCAAGTTCAAATCCAGTCTCATTTACTAGCTGTGTGACCCTGGGCAGGTCACTTAATCTCTGTCTGCCTCAGTTTCCTCATCTGTAAAAAATCCTGGGAGGTAAGTGCTATTATTATAATAATAGCACTTACCTCCCAGGATTTTTGTGAGGATCAAAGGAGATGATAATTATAAAGCACTTAGCAGTGTCTGGCACATAGTAGACACTATATAAATGTTAACTATCATCACTGTTAACTGTTTTTAGAGAATATACATTTTAGGCAAGTATTTAAACTATTACAAAAGCAAAAAAAACTAAAAAAGTTAAGTATACAGGTTTTTATTTCACTGATGTGCATGATATCCAGTAATATTATGAGTATCAAATATTTCATTTTTACAGTAGCTTCTACATTTGTTATTAGGTTGCCTAACCACTTAAATACACACAAAATATGTAATAAAAATAATTAAAGCAAAAAGCAAGAAACTTTACAAATAATGGAATCTGAGCCATTTCTGCCTTTTTCGTAGTAAATTAACTAAATTAAAACTTTATCTTAAGTAATACTTTTGCAACTGTAATCATAAAGGTGTACATAGTGAGACTATATTCTATGGATATACGTGGTGTGATATGTAGTATCTCTAGGATATCTGTTTCTACCACAAGCATATCGCTACAACCTTCAGGTACTCACAATAACTACATCTGTGGCTAAAACCAGTTATCCCTTACCCTCCCGCCCCCCAAACTATGACAAGCTAATATATGGACAGTTTTCTTTTCTTAGACACAGAAGCTCTTTTAACACTGACCTTATGAAATCACAATGTACTAAAAATACTATGCCAGGCACATAAAACATATATAAAAATGTCATAGCCCCATATTGTCCATCTCAGATAGAAATTTGTAACTCCCTAAATGTTAATTGACTCTATTCCCCTAATGTTAAACATAAAAACCACATGGGAAATATAGATGTCTGAATAGCAGTAGCATAAGCCTGTTATAAATTGTAAATATAACTCTTCATGGGGCAGCATGGATGACAAATGACCTACTGTGTAATCTTAGAGTGAGGCAGGTAGAAGTTGGAGGCTGGTGAATTCTCCCTCCTGCCTCAGCTTCATCTCCTTGAGCGTATGACGTCTGTTCACAACGTCAGGTTGTCTCTTAGTGATTGCATTATTAGTGTGGTGTCTTTGTATGAGTCTTCACTTACTGTCTCAAGTTCAACAATGGCTTCATCAAAAACTGGCTTTCCAAGGAAATGGGCCGCCTCTGGAGAAGCCAGGATGTTATAGAATGAATAGGTGGCTTCTCTTTTGTGCTCATTTAAAATGCCCTTTCTTGTCAGCACCAGCAGCAGCCTCAGTCAGATAACAGGACTGTAATCTCCTTTCATCTTCAAATAGAAAACTTTCCTTTCTGCTTCTGAAGTATTAGAAATTAAGAACTTTGCCAATAGAGAGTGCGCATCATTACAGATCTCTTTTCACTCACTCAGTTTTCTCTCTCTATTTCTTGGGCCATCTTTTTTTTTTTCTCAATACTTTCTGTCTTTTGCTCGGTATTTGAAACAAGCCTCCAAGATGACTTCTGGGCTTTTACAACATTTTTTAAGCAAGAAAAATTATTTTCCTCATTGGATAATTCAGCTCCTTCATCAATTACAGACTTTATACAAGTCATCATGTCATCAGATCTCTTGGGCTGCCCAGCCAGTTTGACCTTCCACACCAGCCCAGAATAAGAGGTCCAAATGAGAGAAGACAATGCATATTAGAGAGTAGTGGCCAGGGTAGGGATGTTTTGGACTAGAAAGTCATAGGGACGGTGAATGAAGATATTGGGCAATTGATTGACCCTTGCTTGAGGCAAGAGGCAGGAAGGAAGATCTGGCATAAAGATGAGGTTGGTCAACAAATTGTAAACTCCTCGAGAGCAGAGACATTTCTGACTTTGAATACTCCTAGAATTCATATACTTTGAATTTCTCCTAGAACAGTACTTTGCACAGAGTAGGAATTAATGAGTATTTGTTTTCCTTACTTGCAGATAAAGATCATGTCACTCCTCTATCCAGGCAACTCAAGTAGTTTCTTATTGCCTCTCAAATTACATGTAAACTCCTCAGCTTAGCTTATAAAGCCCTGTCCGCATTGGCCTTCTCTGTTGCTCACTCATAACACTCCATCTCCCATCTCCATGTCTTTGCACTACCCCCTATCCCTGGAGTAGAATGCCTTTCCAGGCCTGCCTCATAAAATCCCTCTCTTCCTTCAAGATTCAGCTCACCCATCTTCTATGTGAAGTCTTTCTGATCCTCTCAGCTCTTGGAGTGACCTCCCTCTCAGACTACTTGGTTCATCTTTGCATTTGTTCTCTTAAAATTTTTCTGTATGCACACATGAACTTATGTTCTTATTATCTCCCTAGTTAAAATGTAAGCTCCTTACAAGTAAGGATTTTCTTATTTGTTGTGTTTCTGTCCACAGTGTCCAGCCCATAATTGATGCTTAATAAATACTTGATGATTGACTAAATAAGGTATAGGAAGAAATAGACAATAAAACTAATAGTGGGAGTTCTTAGTGTATCTCTTTCACGTGTAGACAAATCTAATAAAAAATAAAGCATTAAGAAGTCAAGGACCTGAAGAGACTTTTAGAAAAGTTAGATGTGATAAATGCCTGGTTTTTATTGAATAGGAATAGAAAAGAATACACATTTCTTAGCTGTACATGGCACCTTTACAAAAACTAACCATATGTTAGGGCATAAAAAAATTACAAAATAAATGCAAAAAGCAGAAATATTAAACATATTCCTTACCACAATCCAGTAAAAAATTCTATTTCATAAAGGGCTGCCGAAGAAAGGATTAAAAATTTAAATTAATGTAATCCTAAAAAATTGGTGTATAAATAACATAGTAAAAACAATAGATATTTTCATCAAAGAAAATTATAATGAGACAACATACCAAAATTTCTGGACTATAGCCAAAGCAGAAAATTTATATTACTAAACACTTTTATCAGCAAATTAAAGAACAGATCAATGAAATTGGGTATATAACTTTAAAAGAATCCTGGAAAACCAACAAAGTAAAAAATAAATACTAGAATAGGGAAATCAGAAAAATCAGACAAGAGGTTAATAAAATTGAAAGCAAAAATAAGGAGCTGATTTAAAAAAAAAAGATAAGCCATTATCTAATTTGTTGTTTTGAAAAAGGACATCTAAATTACCAGTATCAAAAAAGGAGAAAGGAAGATTCACTCCAAATGAAGAAGAAATAAAGTAAATTATTAAAAACTTTTGTCCAATTATTTGGTCAAAAAATGACTACTTAAATAAAATATACTACTTAAATTGAAAATACACAAAAATATAAAATTAATAGGCAAGAAATAGAAAACTTAAATAACCCAATCTAAAAAAAAAAAAGACCTTGAACAAGGCATAAATGAACTCCCAAGGAAAAAAGCTCCAGGATCAGCAAATTATATCGCTCAAAGAAAAATTAATTCCAATATTATATAAACTGTTTGCAAAAATGGGAAAAGAAAGGATTCCTTCTGTGATACAAATATAATCTTTATTCTCAAATCAGGAGAAACAAAATGGAGAAAGAAAATTATAAATTAATATCCCTAATGATTATGAATACACAGAAAAAATTTAATTAACAAAGAGACTACAACAACATATCAAAAAAGATTACGCACTCCAACCAAGTTGCCTTTATGCCAGAATGCAGGGTGAGTTCAATATGGGGAAAACAATAAAAATAAGTCACCATATTAATAACAAGAATAAAAATCATATGATAGGGTTCTCCCTCAAACCCTCCAAAAAAGGGAACTATAGGAAGACCAGAAGGAATCATAGATAAGCAGGACAGCCGAAATTAGATACTGAATTCATTATACACTTAAAAAGAAAAGCAAGCGCTATGTATTGGAAATTCACTGTTTCATATGGATTCACTGTTCCAATAAGGCATGTAGAAATGCTCGTTTTATTTGATGTTTATTAAGTTCAGAATAAAAATAAAATGAAATTTAAATTAAGAAAAAAAATATAGCCTTGTGCTGTTGCTTAAATCATACTATTAGGAAGCAATAGAAACAAAAACATCCATGTGCTCAATGCAGGCCTCTTCCCCCAGTAGATGAGCCTCAAGTGAAAGAGGGATTAGAGTTGTTCTATGCAGCCCCAGAAGGCAGAATCTAGTGGCGATCAGGAAAGTTGCAGAGGAGCAAATTTAGGCTTGATTTAAAATGAAAAAACCCTAACAATTTGAGCTACCCAGAAGTAAAACTGGCTTCCCCAGGAGCTAGTAGGTTCCCTTTCTTTGGAAGCCTTTGAGTGAAGACTGAATGACTGTGAGTCATTCAGAGGAAACGAGTTCGCTTTTGGTCAGTCCTGCAAAAGGCAGCTTTCAGCACATGCACCAAACCAGGCACATAGATGCAGAAATGGTACTCTTGCCACTCTCTAGTTTTTAATCCAACCACTAGATGGCAAGAATTGCTTATGTTTAAAAATGAGCCCTAGCTGCTTCTCCAATTAGCTGTGATGCCTGCTCCCTTTTCCTAATGTTGTCATTGGCATTTCGACCCAGAAAAGATACCTTTTTTCAACCCTGCTCCACTGGGCGTCCCTGAAGGAACACTTGAACTGGGAAATAGTATGGTGCAGGAGGAATAGAAAGAGGAAGGAAAGAAATGAAACTGAACCAGGAGTTAGTTAACCTGAATTGTAGTTACAAGTTTTATGACTTTAGCAACATCACTTTACTTCTATGCATCAAATTCCTCACTTGTATAATGAAGGGTTGGGACTATAGAGATGTCTAAGGTCCCTTCTAGGTCTATGGTGGCTCACATTTATACAGTGTTCTATGATTTACAAAACACTTTCTTCACAATGACCCTATAAGATAAGTAGTATAAATAGCATCATCCAGTTCATTTGGAGAAACAAAATCTCTAGAAGCTCTAATATATCAAGGGAAATAGTGAAAAGAGGTAAGGAGGAAAGGGGAATAGCACTTCAAGACCTCAAACTGTTTTATAAAGTAGCAGTCCTCAAAACCATCTGGTATTTATTAAAAAATAGAGAAGTAGATCAGTGGAACCAACTAGACAAGGTGAATAAAAATAATAGAACTCAATGTTAGATAAACCAGAAAGTATAACTTACTTAGGAAAGAGCTCCCTATTTGGGGGAAAAAATTGATGGGAAAACTGGAAACAGTCCAGCAGAAATTAGGATTAGAGTAACTTCTTACACCATATTCCACAACAAATTTGAAATGGACATATGACCTTAATATTAAGTACCACACCATAAAAAAATTAGAAGAGAGGGGCAGCTAGGTGGCGCAGTGGATAGAGCACCGGCCTTGAAGTCAGGAGGACCTAAGTTCAAATCCGGCCTCAGACCAAACACCCAAACACTTGACACGTACTAACTGTGTGACCTTGGGCAAGTCACTTAACCCCGATTGCCTCACTAAAAAAAAAAAAAATTAGAAGAGAAGCAGTTCATATTGTAGCTATGGACACCAGTACATTCCTAAGCAAGCATGAGATAAAGGCAATTACAAAAGATAAAATAAATAACTTTCATTACATGAAACTGAAAAGCTTCTGCATAAGCAACATTAATGCATCTCAGAAAGGTGAAGCTGTTGATTGGGGGAATTATTTTATCAAATTCTCAGATGAGGGTTTAGTATCTAAGATATGTATACAACTAACAGATACATATAAGACCAACAGCCATTATCCATTAGGTAAGTGGTCAAAGGAAGTGAACAAACAGTTCTCAAAAGAATTATTGCAAACAATTCATAACAATGTGAAAGAATGCTCCGGGTATCCAAAAATTAGAGAAATATAAATCAAAATGGTTCTGAGGTTTCCCCTTACACCCTGCCAACTCACAAAGATGATGAAAGATGGGAAGAGACAATGTTGAAGAGGCTGTAGGAAAATAGGAACATTAATGCATTGTTGGTAGAGCTGTGAATCAGTACAGCCATTTTGGAAAGCAATGTAGAGTACACCAAGGAGGCACTGCTAAGAAGAAAGGGACCACATGCACCAAAATATTTTTAGCAGCACTTTTTGTGGTAGCAAAGAATTAGAAGCAGAGTAAACTTTGCTTATATCAACTGATGAATGGCTATACAAATTGTGATACATGAGTGCAACAGAATATGACTGTGCTGTGAAACATGATCAGTGTGAAGAATGCAGACAAGCACAGAAAGATTCTGATGCAGAGTGAAGAAAGCAGAGCCAGGAACAATACATACAATGACTACAACAATGTAAATGGAAAGAACGACCACAAAACAACAGATGCAAATTTTGCAGAATTATAAAGCGCAGGCATGGCTCCAAAGAATACATACATATTTATGTATGAGAAAACTCCTGCTACACTACTCGAGGTCCACAGGTGTGGCACACTGCATATATTTTCAGACTTTTTTATTGTATTGATCAGTTTTGCTGATTTTCTTTTGTCCCTTTTTCTTCATTTTCTTCTTTAAAATATATTTGTTACATGGGATGGTTCTCTGGTAAAGGTAGGAGGAAAGGATGTGGGGAGAAATTATAGTGATGTAAGAGACAGAAGCCATCAATATAAATTTATTTTTTAAAAATAAATAGTATTGGGGCAGCTAGGTGACACAGTGGATAGAGCACCAGCCCTGAAGTAAGGAGGACCTGAGTTCAAATGTGGCCTCAGACCAAACACTTGACATTTACTAGCTGTGTGACCCTGGGCAAGTCACTTAACCCCAATTGCCTTTTTAAAAAAATAAATAGTATTACTCTTAGATGAAGAAACTGGACCCAATCCTGGCTATTTCTCCCTTCCTAAGCTCAGCAGTCAGGGCTCACTCCTTTCTTTTTCTCCCCCATTACCTAATCCTGTGGCAGTTCAAGCAGAATTGTCATATTTAGCACAGATTTCTAAGGTACTGTCTTCACCTGAAACCCACTGTGATGGCTGCACCCATCTTGAATAAGTCACTCTCTTCCTCTGCCTCTTAGAATCCCTCACTTCCTTCATGTCTCAACTCAAGTACCACCTCCTACAGAAAATCTTTGCTGATTCTCTCTCTCTCTCTCACACACACACACACACACACAAATTGTTTGTGCCCTTCATTCCTACCTTGTAGTTAACTGTCTTGTATTCATTTTGTGTGTGTGTATTTGTTCTTAAAATATTTGTATATGAACATTATCTGCCCCAATAGAATGTCCACTCCTTGAGAGCAGAGATTGTCTAATTTTTTCTCTTATCCCCAGAACCTATCATAGTGCATGGCACATAGTAGGTGCTAAATAATCTCTTGCTGATTAATTCTTCACCCTCACCATTGCACCCTTGTCATAGCTGCAGTAATGCCAGTTGATGTAAACTGGGCTCCCCTAGCTTCAGCTTAGGTATTGGTCTCCACCTGTTGCTCAATCACAGCCCAAGTTGTGAGACTTCTGTATGATCCATAAGCCTTTGGCTCACTTCTAACTCCTAGACCATGTTTTTCAACAAATTGTCTACTGCTGTGCATATCTTTTCATTGAAGTCATTGAATATTAAGGTATAAATTGATTTTATTTGGAGGGTCTTAAGAAGTTCTTGATAAAATTTCTCTACTTCCTCAATCTCAACAACAATGTTGAAACATCAATTAATTATCAATTAATTAATTACTTATCTTTTTGCAAATATTTGTCATGAGCACTGTAATACCAGATGACCAAATGTCAGATGAAATGATGCTTCTTGTTGCCTTTGAATGTATGACAAAAACAGACTCTTTTGTTTACTCCTCTAAGGAAAACCTGTGGCTATTCTTCCATATAGCTACAACTTCTTCTATCTTCCAATCATGCTATAGCAAAAATAGCAAGATGAATAAAATTCAGTTCTTCTAATATTATATTTATTTATTGGTCACATGGCAAGGAGCTCACATTTATAGTATCAGAAACTTAAATTAATATATATAAATGGTCTGAAAAACGGTGATCCTTAGCACCATCTGTCCTCTTTTCTGCCCCTTTTACCACTATCACTATAGAAACAAAAGGAAACTACTCAGGACTGAAAACCATTTTTGTTTTTCTGTGTTTCATCAATTGCCATGCCCCAAACAATCCATCGCCAAGTGACTAGATTACTGCTGATGAGTTTGTCCAGACTTCGTGAGGCTGGTAGTCAGAAAACAAACATAATCTGCTTCCAAGACCATACTCAAAGATTTTTCAGTATGGTAGACTTTCCAGAGCATAGAAAATCCAGGATCACTTCCATGAAAGGGGTTTGGGAGTAGGAAAGCACCCCAGGACATAAACAAAAACACAAAATGGCCATTGTTGTGTGCCCCTTCCTTCCACTTCCTCATTGACGGGGTGGCATAAAGGGAGGCAGTGAATTCTAAGAATCATACCATTCTTAGACTACCTACAAATGTTCATTTAACTGTTGGTACTTTAAATAGGATCTCTGTCCACAACCAGTGGACTGAAGTACTGGAGGAACTGAAACACATCCAACTTGGAAAGCAGTTCTTTAGTTTAAAAAAGCACATCCTCAGGGGTCCCTGGTGGTGTCCAAGCTGCTGAGCTAATCGGATATCCTTTAGCAGGATATGAGAAAAATGCCATTCTTCATATTCATATGATTCAAACCACATTTCACTAAAAGAATGTCAGAATATTTCCCCTACCAACATGGAATGATTGTATTTTAAAAATTAATTTTAGAGTGATGAGCATTTTTATTTTACTTTCTAAGGTTGGGTGTTATGGTTTGTTTTTTTTTTCAGGCAGCTCGTGATGATAAAAGAAAAGGCATTTCCTTTGCTAATGAACTTAAGAAATTTACGAAGTCTAGTAAGCAGTACCGAGGATTCACGTCATCCTCTCAGCTTTCAGTAGCAGAAAGTGTCCAGGTGAAAGAAGAAAAACTTGTGAGCAGCTTCTCTTCTAATGATGCGATGGACCATCACCCATGAGCACCTTCAGTTTGTCCCATCCAGGTACGATCCCAGATTTACTGCCCTCATACTAAAGCAAGGCCCTTTAATAAGCTTCTAAGGCGCAGCTCGTACTGTGTCCTTTCTTTCTGTCAAGAAAAGGACAACAAGCAGAACTAATTCTCATAAATGTAAGTAAGAAAATGCACCACAAGAAATTACTGCCTATGCCATCGTCCTTGAAGTAAACTCTGAGGCTGCACAGATGAGCCATCTAGTTTAACCATTCCGATTAATACTGGCCTAAAGGGAACAGGACAGACTGAGTAGCTCCCACACTAACTCTCTGTGAGACTTTGAATAAGTCACTTCACCTTCCAATTCTATGTCCTTTGCTGAAAAAGGAGATGATGGCTGAACCCCCGTTAACATCCTATTCTTTTTTTTTTTTAAGTCTTATGGATCCCTTTGATTCTCATGCCAATTTTTAATTTTTTTCCAATTTCCTCCACTCCTTAACTCTATTCTTAGAGCTTCATTACAGACTATTAGCTCTTCTGTTAGCTTCTGTGGCAGGGTCAATGGAGGAATAGAGACTGATGTCTCCTAGGCGTGGCTTCTGGTTTCATGGCTTTCTGTTGTGTTCTATGGAAGTCAGAATGGCATATTAGATAGTGATAGATTGAAGAGCCTGAGTTCAAATCCTGCCTCTGACTGGGCAAGTCATTTAACATTTCTCAACCTCAGTTTTCTCATCTATAACATAGGGATAATTTATGCTACCCATTTGCTGACACAGAGGTGATGGAGTTGGGACAGAATGAGCCTTTTTTTTTTTTTTTTTGGATGTGGCCAATGCAGGCGTTTGTTTTGTTTGACTACACATTTGTTACAAGAGTTTCCCCCCTCCCCCGAGGGTCAAAGAGCAGAGGTAGGAGGGAGAGAAAATAACTTTTTGTTCACTAAAAATACAATATAATAAAATGGGGATGATACCTATAGCACTTACCTCCCAGGATTACTGTGAGTACCAGTTCAGTTCGCATGCATTTATGATGATTTATTAGGTATCAGGCACCATAGGAGGCCCTGGCATATAAAGCCCAGAAGTAAACCATCCCAGCTCTCAAAGAGTTTATGTTTTCTAAATCAGAGACAATAATATATGTAACAAACCCTTAAAGCTCTATGTAAATGTGAGTTATTATCATCATACAGTGATCTAACTTCAGACATACCCCTTGCCTTTACTATGTCTACTATCTGTTTCATTTTCCCTCCAGAACCTGGACATCCAACATGCTGCCCATAAGCAAATTGTGTTCTCTTGAGATTATTAGGAGGAAAAGTTTTAATCTAATTACATAATACACATGAGAGAAGTTTATGGCGTCTAACCACCTAAAATTTCTGGCTCTGAGACCAAATCCTGTGCAATATATGGGACCCCCAGCCCTGTGAAGTTGCAGTCTTTTTCATAAATCTGCTGAAATCAGATCAGAACACCACCATCAGGGATGCACAATGGGGCAAGTCCTGACGGAATGCACCTCTTCGTTTTCACAAATATTTGGGTCTTTTAAATACTGCTAGACTCATTGACTTGATCAGAATTGATCAGTGACTAAATCCTTCTTCAGTTTACTTATTTATATTATATAGTAGTTACAGCAATCCAGTGGAGTATAATTCTGCATTTTGGTATGAATGAAATTTTTTGGAATGTTTTTAGATTACATCCAAAAATCCATATTTTAAATAGCTAACATAATTTTTTACCACTTCCTGAATAAATATTTTAGGCAAATTACATGCATGGATTTCTGTTCACATGGCTAAATATTTTTTTTAAAAACTACACTTCTGCTATAGAAATTTAATTTTTCAACAGAAGAAAATGTAGCTTTACAATTCATGAATCCTTTTAAGATTGTCGTTTCCTCACTTGTCTGACGGATTTCTTTTTTTTTTTTTAATTTACTTCGTATTTTCCCCAATTACATGTAAAAACAATTGTTAACATTCAATTTTAAAACTTTGAGTTCCAAATTCTCTCCCTTCCTTCCTCCCCACCTCCCCTCATTGAGAAGGCAAGCAATTTGATATCGGTTATATATGTGTGGTCATGCAAAACATTTCCATATTATTAATGTTGTAGAAGAAAACAGACAAAAAAAACTCAAGAAAAATAAAGCAAGTTTAAAAAGTATGCTTCGATCTGTACTCCAGCACCATTAGTTCTTTGTCTGGGGATGGATAGCATTTTTCATCATAAGTCCTTCAGATTTGTCTTGGAGCATTGTATTGCTGAGATATCTAAGTCATTCACAGCTAATCATCTTACAATATTGCTGTTACTTTATTCACTTTGCATTAACTCACATAAGTCTTTCCAGGTTTTTCTCAGAGCATTCTGCTTATCATTTCTCATAGGACAATAGTATTTCATCACAATCACATCACACAATTTGTTCAGCCATTCTGCAACTGATGGGCATCTCCCCAATTTCCAACTCCCTGCCACCAGAAAAAAGCTGCTATAAATATTTCCATACATATAGGTCCTTTTTCCTTTTGTTTTTTATCTCTTTTTGGATACAGATCTACTACTGGTATTGCTAGGTCAAAGGGTATGCAGGGTTTTATAGCCCTTTGGACATAGTTCCAAATTGCTCTACAGAATGGTTGAATCAGTTCACAACTCCACTTACAATGCATTACTGTCTCGTTTTTCCCATATCCTTTCCAAAATTTGTCATTTTCCTTTTCTGTCCTATTAGCCAATCTAATAGGTATGAGAAAGTACCTCAGAATTATTTTAATTTGCATTTATCCAATCAATAATGAGTTGGAGCATTTTTCATATGGTTCTGACTAGCTTTGATTACTTCATTTGAGAACTGTTCATATCTTTTGGTCATTTATCAACTGGCGAATGGCTCTTATTTTTATAAATTTGACTCAGTTCTCTATATGTTTGAGAAATGAGGCCTTTATCAGAGAAAATTGCTTCAAAATTTTTCACAGTTACTATTGCTAACTGTATTTCCCTCCATCCTATTTCTCCCTGTTTATTCTATTCTCTCTTTTTACCCTGTCCCTCCTCAAAAGTGTTTTGTTTTGGACTACCCTTTTATCACCACCCTTCTCTTATCCCCTTCCCCTCCTTTCCTGTAGGGTAAGATAGATTTCTATACCCAATTAAGTGTGTGTGTTATTCCCTCTGTGAGCCAATTCCTGATAAGAGTAAGGTTCACTCACTTCCCCTCACCTTCCCCCCTTCCCCTCCAATGTAAAAGCTTTTTCTTGCCTCTTTTATGTTAGATAATTTACCCCATTCTACCTCTCCCTTCTCTTTCTCCTAGTTTATTCCTCTCTCACCCCTTAATTTTATTTTTTTAGATATCATCTCTTCATATTCAGCTCACACCTGTGCCCTCTACCTATATATATACTCCTAACTGCCCTAATAATGAGAAAGTTCTTATGAGTTACAAGTATCATCTTCCCATGTAGGAAAGTAAACAGTTTAACTTTATTAAGTCCCTTATAATTTCCCTTTTCTGTTTACCTTTTTATGCTTCTCTTCAGTCTTGTATTTGGAAGTCAGATTTTCTATTCAGCTCTGGTCTTTTCATCAAGAATGCTTGAAGGTCCTCTATTTCATTGAATATCCGTTTTTTCCCCTGAAGGATTATACTTAATTTTGTTGGATAAGTGATTCTTGGTTGTAATCCTAGTTATTTTGCCTTCTGGAACATCATATTCCAAGCCCTCTGATCCTTTAATGTAAAAACTGCTAAATCTTATGTTACCCTGAGTGTGACTCCACCATACTTGAATTGTTTCTTTCTGGCTGCTTGCAGTATTTTCTCCTTGACCTGGAATTTGGCTATAATATTCCTAGGAGTTCTCATTTTGGGATCTCTTTCAGGAGGTGATCAATGGATTCTTTCAATTTCCATTTTACCCTCTGGTTCTAGAATATCAGGACAGTTTTCCTTGATAATTTCTTGAAGATAATAGCTAGGCTCTTTTTGTCTATCATGACTTTCAGGTAGTCCAATAATTTTTAGATTATATCTTATGGACCAGGTCAGTTGTTTTTCCAGTGAGATATTTCACATTGTTTTCTGTTTTTTCATTCTTTTGGTTTTGTTTTATTGTTTCTTGATTACTCAATAAGTCATTAACTTCCATTTGCTCCCTTCTGATTTTTAAGGAATTATTTTCTTCAGTGAGCTTTTGTACCTCGTTTTCCTTTTGGCCTGTTCTACTTTTTAAGGAATTTTTTTCTTAAGTGAATTTTTGTGCCTCATTTTCCATTTGGCCAATTCTGCTTTTTAAGGTATTCTTCTATTCGTTGGCTTTTTGGACCTCTTTACCATTTGGCCTGGCCTTTTTTTTGGGGGGGGGGGTTGGTTAGGCAGTGGGGTTAAGTGACTTGCCCAGGGTCACACAGCTAGTAAGTGTTACATGTCTGAGGCTGGATTTGAACTCAGGTCCTCCTGAATCCAGGGCCTGTGCTTTATCCACTGTGCTACCTAGCTACCCCACTAGTCTGTTTTTTAAGGTGTTATTTTCTTCAGTATTTTTTTGTGTCTCCTTCACCAAGCTGTTGACTCTTTTTCATGATTTTCTTGCATCATTCTCATTTTTCTTCCCAATTTTATCTCTACCTCTCTTACTTGATTTACAAAATCCTTTTTGAGCTCGTCCCTAGCCTGAGACCAATTTATGTTTTTCTTGAAGGCTTTGGATGAAGGAGCTTTGACTTTGTTTTCTTCTGAGTGTGTTTTGATCTTCCTTGTTACCACAGTAACTTTCTATGGTCGGAATTTTTTGTCGTTTGCTTATTTTCCCAGCCTATTTCTTGACTTTTAACTCTTTGTTAAAGTAGGGCTCTGCTTCCAGGGTGGAGGGCACACTGTCCTAAGCTTCAGGGATTTTGTGCAGCTGTTTTAAGAGATACTTCTAGGGACCTGTAAGTTTTCAGTTCTTCCAAGGTGGTATGATCTAAGGAAAGGTGTGTTTACTACTCTGCTGAGCTGTGCTCTGGTCTGTGAGTGACCACAAGCACTCTTCTGCCCTGGAACTGTGGTGAGGGTTCTGCCCCCTTCCACTGTGCCCGCAGGCTCTGCTGTGCTAGTGCTCCTTCTCACCCTGCGACTGCCACCCAGGACTGTGACCCAGATCTGAATAGAGGCAAAGCAACAGAATCCTGCCTCTGTGCTAGCAAAGAGATCCCTGTGATCTTCTTACCGTCTGGGCTGAGAGCTCTGGCTGCTGATTCAGTCACTCCCCAGGCCTGCTCCTGGTTTGCTGGGCCTGGGGCTGTGCTGGTGCAGCCAGTGCTGCACTGTGCTCCATTCTCACCCAGGTGTGACAGATCATTCCTGCTGACCTTCTAAGTTATCTTTGGCTAGAAAATTGTGTCATCCCATCCTCTTGTGGGTTCTGCTGCTCCAGGAATTGTTTTATGGCATTATTTAAAAGTTTTTGGAAGGGTTTTAGGGAGAGCTCAGGTGAGTTGCTGCCTTTTCTCTGCCATCTTGAAGGCTCCACCTCCTAACATTCCTCTGATTTCTCTTTGTAATATCTTCACCAGAACTTCTCCATTCTATTTCTTCAGTATATCACACATCTGTTCCCTTCCCTCTACTCATAGGGCCCTGTGGTAAGAGCCCTGGACATGGAGTCAGGAAGCACTGAGTTCAAATGTGGCCTCAAACACTTCTAGCTATGTAATCCTAAGCAAGTCACTTAATCTCTGTCAGTCTTGGTTTCCTCATCTGTAAAATGGGGATAATATTAGCACCTACTGTTGTGAGGATCTAATGGGATAACATGAAAAATGCTTTGCAAACCTTAAAATATTATAGAAACGCTAGGTCATCATAGTAATGTAGAGAATTCCCTTTGAGGAAGCTCTTTCTAATGCAGATCCGGCCTCTCTCAGTTCTTCTCTTCCTTCAGATCTCAGTTGAGGAGCCATCTCTTCCAAGGGGTCTTCCCTTATTTCTTCTGTTAGTGCTCTGTCCTTTCTGACGTTGCCTTGACTTCACTTATCTCTGTAGATCATAGGATCATAGATATAGGGCTAGGAAAGACCTCAAAGACCATCTGTCCAACTCCCTCCCCAAACTGAGGCCAAGTGAATTGCTGGAGGTCAGAAGGCTAGTAAGTATCTGAAACAGGATTTGAACTCAGGTCTTACTGACTCTGGAAGCTTTGTGCACTGTGGCGCCCCCTCGCTGCCTCCTTGATAGACTTGTTTTTGTGTCTCCACCACCTACCACACCATGATTTCGTAAGTATAGAGAGATTCTAGGCAAGGAGATCCCTACCATCAGGGCGGGTTGGCAGCTGCTCACATAGCAGGCGGGTGCCCGTGGGAGAACTCGAATACAGAATTTGTTGACTCTAAGGCCAGCTCTATCCATTAGAGCTAGTTGACGGAATGTTGAAGGGATGGAGTCGGGACGCACAGAAGGCAAGAGAGGCTGTTGCTGACATCTGGCCACAACCCATTTAAAAGAAATAGCGCAGTTGCAAAGAATGAACCACAGGGGTTGAACAAGGCCAAACTGCTGAGCACGACGACTCTCAGGACCATGGGCCCCCCCAATGACCTTCTGACAGAATCGAGGGTCTCATTATAATGAACTGTGTTTTCTTAAAGCTTCTGGCCTGCCATGTCCATTCAGTTAGAAAGTCCACCTCTTAAACAGTGTGTCTCCTCATTGCCACGTGCACAGATGACTGCCCCCTTGTGGAGGATGACAAGACCAGAGGGTCTCTCTTTCACACTTTGGTGCTTACCCGCCCTCCTTGCAGCTGCATCCCTGGTGGTCTCGGGCACAAACTCCACTTTGCCTGCTCTGTGCCTTCTCGTGCTTTGCCCGTTGGCCAACACGCCTGCTCCCTGGACTCAATCAGCATCTAGTAGGTGCCAGAGGATTTAAGGCAAAAATGGAACAACCCTTGCCCTTGAGGACCTTGCTACATCCTGTCATAGAGATGGGAATGAGCATGTATTAAACACCTACTGTGTGCCAGGCACTGTGCTACACACTTTACAAATCTCTCATTTGAGCCTTACAACACCCTTAGGAGGTAGGTGCTATTACTGTCCCCATTGTACAGTTGAAGAAATAGGCAGACAGGTTAAGTGACTTGCTCAAGATCACATAGCTGACGTTAGGCCAGATTTGAACTCAGCTCTTTTTAACCCCAGGCCCGATACACTATCCACCGTGCCACCTACCATTGAAGTAGATGCAAAGTATATACCAAATAAATACAGGGTAATTTTGAGTGAAGCTCCAGAAGTCAAGGAGGGGATACAGTGTTTGAGCTTGGAAGGAAACTAGAGCTTCTTAGGCAGAGGGGAGCACAGCCTGGGCAAAGGCCTAGAGATGAGAGATGTCATGTGTGAGGAATAAGAAGGCTGGTTTAACTGGACTCTTGGTGCACCCAGAAAGGCAGGTTGGAACCAATTTGGGAAGCAGAAGAGTATACAATTGGGTGTTAGGGAACCGTTTGTTGAATGGGGTAACGTGGTCAGAAGTGTTTTAAGAAAATCACTTTGGTACTAGTGTGGGGATGGAAGGGCAGGCAGAAGACAGTTGAGACGGCTCTGAGATGATGAGGGCCTGACTTAGGGTGGTGGTTATGTGAGAGGAGAGAAAAGCATCAATTCAAGAGATGTTTTGGAGGTAAAATCAACAAACTTTAACTGGCTGAGGGTAGGGGGTAAAGAAGAGGGAGGGAAGAGTTGAAGATGATTTGGAGGTTTCAGAGTTGGGCAACTGGATAGAGGGTGGTGCCCTCAGCAGAAAGAGCTAAGTGTAGGAGGGGTGAGTTTAGGGGAATTGAAGACAGACATGTTTTAGACATGCCATCTGCATGGCAAGGAGTGAACCCACTGGGGGCTGATGAAGTCACCAACAAGAGCAGAGAGAGAAGGCCCAAAACAGTCCTGAGACCCACCTTCAGTTAGGGGGCAGGAGACGGGTTCTAATCCCACAAAGGGCCATCTTGGCAGAACCATAACCATCTTTTCAACCCCACCTCTACAGGGTATCTCCTCCCTTAGCCGTTCCCTGCCTCCTCAGTCCACAGCAGCCTCTCTGAGACATGATTTTACCATCTCTTCTCTGTGTGCTGCCTGCCTCACAGGGGTCAGATGAGACGTGAGCCTTACTTTGAAGCACGTACTTAAAATCCAAGGCATTTTAACATTTCCTAGTGTTTCTGGGCCTTCATCTTTCATCACATTGAATTGTAGGCGCAGTGCCCTTCCTACGTGGATAAAACGAAATCAAGAAGCAGACAGCTGGCAGTACATGGGCAGTTTCGGAATGGAGACTTTCTCCTAGAGACAGCATTGGCTTCTTGCTGCCTGGTCCCCCTCCGTCTTCCTGAGGACGGCCTGTGCAGGTCAGCAGGACATCTGGCCCTGTGCCACAGGTTACAATCATCAGAGAAAGGACCATGCTCCTTACACTTTCCTTGACGCAGAGAAGTGGATTTAGAGAATATCGATGTCTGTCATGTACAATGTTTGACTATGTGGCATTGCTCGGCATTGCAAATGTGAACATGGCTTTTAGAATGAGAGACTTGTACAGAGTAGCCTTTGCGGGAGGCCAGATTCAGAGGTTCAAGGCTGCTGCAGTGAGCCTGGCTTCCCTGCAGGTTGTACTCTCGGTCTTGGTCAAAGTTCCTTTTCTGTGTCGGAGGGAGTGACAAATACATTGAGTACATTTCACTGAATGTCTCACTGTTCCATTCCCTTTCTTTCTAGTTTATTCTCCCAAAATCTTAGATGGTGTAGAACACTAATTAATTTAACATATCTACTGACCTCTTGACAAAAGGAACTTAATTTTTAGCAAAATTAGTTTTTCAACTCTGTGTTTAAAGTAAAATTATTTATTTTATTGACCCAATGTATGTACTGACATTGTAGTGATATATTTATTATTCATGGGCTTTTGTATCTTCTTCATATTAGAAAAGTATTATTTAGGGTTTCTCTTAGAAAATTTCCTAATAAGAAAAACCATATTCTGAACATTCGAAATTTGCCAAAATAACACAAAAATTGTTTCAATACCACTTCAGAAAACATAGCAAACATTTATCCATGACATAGTTTAAAGTTAAATATAAATTTTGAAACTTTTGCTATAGAACATCAGCAACCGATACATTTTTTTCTGAATCCAAGAAGAGAAAATCAAGGCATAGCTTGACCTTCGTGCATGCTGTCAAGCAGAAATTTGTATAATTTTGCTTTTCCTATTGACTCCATTCTAATTTAAAAGAAGTGTCCCTACAGGAAAAAAGGCAACAACGTAGACCATTAAAATGACGCTTCAGAATCCCAATCTTCTCATCAGAGTGCTCTGCATTTGTCAGCCCTCAATATAGTCTCCAGACACTTACCTCTCCTACATAATCCTTACAAGAGATTAGGACAGCAGACTGTCAGTCCCCGTGTCCTCTGCACATTCATTCAAAGAGTAAGTTATCAAAATGTTTCAGTCACAGCTGAATTCCCTCTTGTGGGTCATCCACCCTGACTCCATGAACTGTGAAGGCTGAATCAGCCAAACTGGTTCTTGTCCACCTGGAGAAGACAACAGCACCTTCTGTTTACACAGTGCTCTTCTTATAATCCCATCAGGAAGTGACAGATCTGTTATCTTCATTTTTAGGCAGAGGACTCAGACAAGGGGTGAGTCTGCAGTCCCACCAGGCCCAGCTACTTCCCTCTTTAGCTGGGGGAGGGGGGAGGATGAGTTTTTCCAGGTTTCTGTTTTAGAAGTAAAATTATTTATTGACCCAAGGTACATGGTGACACTGTAGTAATATTTATTACATATGGCTTAATTTTGGCTCCATTTGGGGACAGAACCAACTATAGCAGTTCAATGGTACAAAATATATACACGTTCACATATACTAGTCACATCAGATGCTAACTTTGTAACATAAAAAGGGATACTACCTATTCCTTAAAATACATCCCTCATCAGAGAACTCTTATCAAACTTCATTAAGTAGTAACTAAAGCTGTTAGTTCAATTCCAGTCATTGCTTATTAGTATTTGTAGGGGACTCATTATCTGATATGTGGTGTTCACTATATGCAGTACCCCTATAGTTTCCTAATAGTTTTGTGGAGTGGTGGTTTGGTTTTTTTGTTTGTTTTGGGGGTTGGGGGTCACAAAGGAAATGTGTACATCTAAGTTAATCTATCTAGATTCTTAAACTGACTAAATGTAAAAGCAAAATTGTACCAAGTATTTGAACAGTAAAGTCAACTGCTATCCCTTTTCCATTTAATGATGTTATACTTAGAGTCTATGTACTAGTTGAAGAATAGGGCCTCTAATGTTTGTTGTAAGTTACTTAAAAATGTCACATTGTAAATCAAGATGTTTTTTCTTCCTATGGATGATGCCAGAACTTGAGTGGGTCTGTGTTTTCATCCTAATAGGAATTTGGGTCACAGGCCTATGTGAGGTGTGAGCAAATAAGAAGAAAGTGAACATAAAGACAAGTGGACTCTTAAGAAAATCACCACAAAGCCATAACCACGTGCAAAACAATGAAGGCCAAATCTGAGTAAGGCCTTAGTTTCAAGGATCATGTACAAGTCCATAAAGAAAAATGTTTGTGTATGCGTCCTCTCTTGAGGCTAGTTTTGCTTTTCAAATGACAAATGGTCAGGAAGCACAGGAGAGCCTTTTATGGAATCAAAGCCTCTCTGGAAACTCCTCATTAAATCCTAGGCCACAAGTAGTACATCTGTAGCACTGGGGACACTGCCTGACTCCTCCTATTTTCCACGATTTGTGCTTAAAAGAAAGTTTTCCCCAAATGATTTAATCACACTTTTAAAAAAAAGCTAAATATTTAACAAAATTCTTAAACTTCTTGTGCTAATTTAATCAAAAGGAAGTCACTGACAGTCATTTGCCAGGAACTTTCCTTGATGCTTGTGGCTGACTAGCACCACCCCCTTCCCCTTCCAGTTTTTCATCTTCAACAATGAAATGGTCTGTGATGAACAAACACCTTGTGCCTACTGCCCACCCTCACCCCCCAAAAAAAGACTAGAGGGTATTTTTTTCTTACAAAAATCCAAAGTTTAATGCATTCATCAAGTGTGTCACTGGTCCAAGAACATTAACAACATTAACACTACAAATAAGCATCATAGGATGAAGGAACTTTCCATTTCCCCTCAAATTACTCATCAGAAATGAAAATGGTATATAGTATTCCATTTCAATACTTCTCTTTTTAGTATATTACTAACAGTTCCAGGATACCTTTATTTCAAGATAATTCTTACATGGTAGGGCAGTTCAAATGCAATGCCAGGTCAGCTTTTAATTTCCATGTTGGAAAACAGTGGGATTTATATTATCAGTCCTCCACTCTAGCCGAGAATCTTCCTGAGCTGTTGACTGTGCCCATCCTCCCAACTTATCCAGATCCTACACCCATCCTTCAAGGCTCACCTCCTCTATGAAGCCTCTCCCTACAATAATTTCTCACTCACCTGAAGTCAATTCAACTTCACAGACCATTAAGTATCCTCTATATATGTGAAATGTACTGTGCTCAGATACCCAAGGATGCAGTCTCTGGCCTCAAAAGGGCTTACATCCTACTAGAATATAAATGTATCACTAGGTCTTGTTCATACTTCTCACTTATACTTAAGAGCAATGCTTTACATCATTATCTGGTTCACATCAAAGTGTTTTAACAATATTTTAGGCTTCCTAAGGGCCAGATCTTACAATTGTGTATCTTTCCCTTTGTACGAGGCACTGGCCTATGCTCATAACAGGTGCTCGACCCTTACTGAACAGAACAATTAAGGTGGTTTCAGAACACAGCCTCTCTACACTTAAATATGTTAATAGTTATCACCTATTATTTTGCTGTAATCCTTATTTTGACAACTCATAGAGTATTCAGAGTGATACCAGTTAGACAACACTGTACTCCCGGTGTACATCTCAAAACATGTCACACACAAAGTGCATCCACTAGGCTTTAGACAGTTGGGAAATTTCCGTACATTGAATCTTCTATTAAATTTTAAAACTGATTTTTCACCTTATCTGTTTTCTGCCAATTTGAAGTACAACTGTATATGTATATGTTTGAAAAATAAATGGTTTGTGATGTCTGTTGGCCTCTTCTCTCTGTCTGATACAGCAAGATGTTCCATTCCCCTATGGAACTGTTTATGGGCTTAGATTGACTTTCATAAATGAGCTGTTATGCAAAGCTGTACATTAATGAAATATTTTTAATACAGTCTATCTCTTTTTCCATTAATTTCCAATACAAAATTAGGATATTCTCATTGAAAAACTTTATTATTAAATAAAAATATATTAATAAATCATAAAAATACTGAAACAAACTCAGAAATGGATTCTCCAAACAGGGTTAAGTGAATAAGGAAGCTTCTGACATTTTATTACTCACATGTTTATTATTCCAAGAAATACGAGATCTGAAACTCAAAAGAGGATGAAAGTGGACTGGTTCCTTCCTATGGCTCTGTAATAAGGAGGAATCTTTTGCAGATTGTTTACTTTCTCAACTTGCATGTCACAAAAAAGTCAAAGAATCTGGTTATTTGAGGAAATACGCTGTAATCAAATCATCAAAGCACTTACAATGAACCAGGATTAAAAAAACAAACCAAAACAAAAATAGCTGCCCACACAGCTTCCACCTCTCTAACAACTAGAAAGCTATGTGTATTCCACAACATAGATCATTTGCTAGAGGCTGGGTCAGTGATTCACCAGCCCACACAACAGTGCAAATAGCAGAGAGCTGGATACTCAGACTATGGAGAGCTAATAAGGTGACAGCAAAGACCACCTCACCAAGCATTACAGGGATCAACTCAGCCCCAAGTGGAGGCCTTTTACAGGTGAGGAAGCAAGTTTGGCTGTTTCCTTACCTGAGGGGAACAGACATAACTAGTTTTACCCCCCCCCCAAAAAAAGGCTGACCCCTTGACACTAGCTTTAGTGCTTATTTCCCTATGCTCCATGTTGTTGGTATTTATTTAGACACTTTAACTCATTATTTAGATTGGAGGCCATTTCCTGCTGATTTATCTATTAACATATTCAAGGTCTTGGAGATTTCTTCTTCCTGAAATCTGTTACTTTTAGTCTTCTGCGGGCCCCCCCACCCCTATTTCCTTATCACTCACTTCTGACTCTGACTGTGGTTTCCTTGGGGACTAGAAGCTTCTCAGCCTCCTCCCACACTGGGCAATTCCTGGCTCACCAGTGCAGGTCTCTGCTCCAGGTGACTTCTGAGTGGTCAGAACTGGCCCCAGCTGACTGCTGTGCTCTTCTTAGGCTTGGTGGAGGGCTACACAGCCCCCCACATGCACTGTCCTGTCCCACTTCCTCTGCTCCAGCACCGGCAGTTCAGAGGTCACTTTGCCTGGCACTGGTGTTTATGCACCCACGTTTCCACTCCCAGCAGTCTTTTGCTCCTGAAGGGCTGTGGCCAAGCTGGCTGTTGAAGCCCAGGGAAACTTCTACAACCTGGAGCTGGAGCTCCATCACTGGAAAAAGGGAGGGAGGGACCAGGTGTAGGAACAGGTTTTGATATAAGCCTGTGTTGTGTCCTGGAGTCTGCTGGTATAGCATGGGGGCAAGTGAGGAAGAAGTGCTGAGAAAGTTCAGGGTCAGAGACCGTCAGGTTCTTGGATTTTGGGGTGTTTCTTTTTAACTTCTTTTAGATTCTGGGTGTCCTAGACCATGGAAACAGCTGAAGTTGCTTTATCTTTCATGCATAATTTCTGTCTGGGAGAGGTTTGAGATTATGAGGACCAGAGAAAATGTCCAGTCCTCCATCTTGTTGCAAAGGTGACCCCAAAGTCTTACTTGAATTTCTTATAAAGAAGCTTTTTTGACTTAATCCAAAATGAATAAAGTAATTAAGCACGTTTCTATAAGGTCTCACAGAATCTCATTTGGGAAGGGATCCCAAATCCCAAATAGTATGACAAAGGAATACAATTTCCCCAACAAGTGATCATCCAGAACCACTTTAAGGTTTCTAGTGAGACCAAAGTAGTTAATTCTGAGCTGTGGGTGAGTAGTCTAGCCCACTTTTGGACAGCTTCATATAAAGTCAGTCTACATCCTGAGGTCTACCCTCTAGGTCCAAGTACATCTAACCTCTCTTGCACATGGCAGCCTTCAAATGTTGGAGGCAAATATCACATGCCCACAAAATATCTCCAAGTTAAAAATCCCCACTTTCTTCATCTGATCCTCTTACAATATTCACATGGTGATTCTGTCACCATCCTGGTCACCCCTCCTAAAACGTGGGACTAGAACTGAACAAATCTGGCCTCAGACACTAGCTTACTAGCTGTGTGACCCTGGCCAAGTCACTTAACCTCTGTTTGCCTTAATCCACTAAAGAAGGAAATGACAAAACCACTGCAATATCTTTGCCAAGAAAAGCCCACAGACAGTATTGGCATACTATGGTCCACAGGGTCACAAAGAATCAGACACAAGTGCATGACAGAACAACTCCCAAGAGAAATGAACATAACATCTAGCTGTGGTCTGACCAGTAGAGAGTACAGGCTTTAGTGGATCCATCTTGGTGTAGGGCTACACTAGGATCATCCAGTGCTAGTAAGTTTCCTCTAGATTCTGCCCATAATTTGAACCTGTCATGATCATTTTGGGGGCCTGTCAATCAGAGATCAAGCTATGCCTCAAGCTTCAAGTCAGAGGCAAATCTGACTGACATCTTCGTTATTCTGTTGGGACTCAGAAACTGTTAGAATTAAGGCTTTAAAAAAAATGGTAGAATGTATATTAAGACTCAATGAGACATCTTTCATAAAAAATACTAATGTTGAAATTTTAAAAAGTTTTGTTTGGTTATAAACAAGTATTGGCTGCAAAAAAAAGCACTGACATTTTTTTTCTACCCATGGAAAACACTACCCAGACAGCAACGAGGCCACTAAACAAAAGTATTCAGGAACTTTAAAATCAACTACAATTTAATATATACTGTACAAAAGTTACCAACAAATGAGTCACAAAATATTTGAGAAAATATTTCCCTTTTCTCCTTTCTCGCATATTCTCACTCTGGCTGGTAAAGTAGTCAACACTGGGTTTTTGGAAATCAGTTCTCAGGATTACCTTCACAAAGGTAGGTTGAAATAAATGATACCAAGAGGTACATATTTGTAATTGTTTTCTTCCAGCCAGCTTCCTTTTACATCTACTGTACTGATGTTTTTAAGTATCTGGTGAAATCCAGAGGCAGTTGAATAATAGTTTCATTGGAATGAGTTCTTATTAGTTGGTTTAAATCTTCATTTAGATATGAATCCACATGGAAAATTGTATCCTGAAAAAAATAATAGTACAAACTCAAAGTTACTCCAAATAAATAACTAAAAGCCAAAACCTTTGGGCAGAGGTGAAAAGGATTAATTATCAACCAACAACAGCTCAACTTTCTGGCTAAAATCTAGAACAGAATATGGTTCTTTTACATTATATTTCATCTGGCCATTAAACATCTCTTGTAATGAAATGAAATGGCCATCATTCCCTCTATAGACACTTTCTTTCATGCCACTATCACCTGCCTTCAAAATGTCCTAACTTTATTCTACCTATATGATCAATTCAAAAGTCAAGCTTTGAGGTGGGGGAAAAAATCTCACTTTAAGAAACAAAGAAAAATGTACCTTCTTTGTGGGATTAACTGATGTAACAGGAGGATTAAACGTCATTGTCTTCATATTATAAGTTTCAAAAAGTTCTATAGCTGACCTGTAATTGTAAAACATTGAACAGCTTGTAAGTTCCCAAGTTGAAACTATTATCATATATCCATCATGTGAAATGACAGAATGTGGTCATTTCAAGAGAATGTATAAGAAAAACTGCAAATAAAGTAAATGGTAATTAACGGAATTGCTAAACAGTTGTGGTACATGAATTCACTAGTACGTTACTGTGTTATAAGAAATGAAGAGTATGATAAATAAAGAGAAGCACTGACAGACTTATCTGAACTAATGCAAAGGAAATAATCAGAACCAGGAAAACAATCCACAATTACTACAAAAATGTAAATGGAAAGAACAACAAAACAAATGAAAATGAATGGTATGAAATTATACTCATCAAGCAGAGTCCCTAAAAGAGATGTGATAAGGTACCACCTCCCCCAACATTCTTTGCATGGGATGGGAAGCTATGTGTGGGAACACTACATATGTCATAGTGTTTTCTATATGTTGGATTAGTTTTGCTGAACTGTATCCCCCCTTTTTTTAGGCAATTGGGGTTAAGTGACTTGCCCAGGGTCACGCAGGTAGTAATGTATTCCCCTTTTTATCCTTTGTTATAAGGAAATGGAGTGGGGAGAAGGGAGTGTTCACTGGAATATGCAGGTAACAAATAATAAAAATTTTAATTAAAAAAAAAAAAAAGATCATCTAAATCAACAACCATATGAAAAAAGCAGTTATCACTACTAGGCATATATGCCCACGACGGAGAAGATGGGGAAAAGAACCGTGTGTACAAAAATAACTGTAATCGCACTTTTTATCTCAACAAAAACTAGAAGGAAAGTAGGTACTCTACCTGTGTAATGGCTTAAAGTTCTGGCATGTGAATGTAATGAAATACTGAGCCATAAGAAATTACAACATATGACAGATTCAGAGAAACTTAAAAAAAGTTATATGAGCTGGTGTAGAGCAGAAATAAACAGAACCAGGAAATTATGTCTCTTGAACTTTTCATTCCTCACAATAAGAAGAGTTAAGCCCTCTATGGAGAGTTATCTTCCAAAGAGTGGATGATTTAGAGCCACAGGGCCCATCAGGTGATATGTCACCCATTCAGGAACACATTAAATAAGAGTCAAGTAGAAATGGCTGTTGACGCCCTGCACTAATTTCAGATCTCCTGTCTTCCTCAGGCACATATCAAGGACATGACATAGAATCTCTTAACACTTGTCCAATCTGATGATCACTACTCACTTCTGTTGAATCTTATGGGCACAATCAATATTCAAGCATTTATTATGCACCTACTATGTGCCAACCACTATGCTAGGTACTGGAGACACAAAGACAAAAATTAA